ACCATGAAAAGTGGAAGTCACGTGGTGACCCACTGAACATGGGGTCGCGACCCACTTTTGGGCCACGACCCACCAGTTGAGAACCAAGGCTTTAGATTGTGCTTGCTTTACTCGATGTGTACAGTCAATACCACTGTTTGCCTCCTACTTGGAGTTAATAGCTGTTTATGCTGTTTTCAGTTCCATCCATTAATCCCATTAGATATTATATTTTTTTGTATTATTTTAATTAATTTCTGTAAACATATGTTAACAAAAGTAAATATATATTTCAACTATTGTACTACTGATTAAATGCCCTGTGCTTCTCAAAAAATATTCTCAAATACAGTGCGTTTATAGAATCAAATAGCTCTATTGATTAAACTGACAAATCTTTGAAAAGCAAAACTTGCTCTTGTTCTGAAGGGGCGGCTAAGAGGCACTTGGTAACGAGACGAGTGGATTCGCTGATTAGTTCCATATTGTTTATTATCTCATAATCTCTCCAAGTTCCTCTCCATATTCCCTCCTAATCTCTTGTTTTTGTTGATCTGATTCCAGAGGATGTTTTGCAAGTCATTTACTGCATGTACTGTTACATCCATTTATATCTTTTTCTGGGGCCTATTTACTAAATTTAGCATATGGTACTGTTTTAGTTCATGTTTTTTTTTGTTTTGCATTAAAACTGTACAGTTTCTAATCTTTCCCCACTAAATCAAAATGTAATAAAAAACAATCTGCCTTACATACACTTTAATATTTACCACTGCTGATTTTCACTGTATTGAAAACGTACAACTGCCTAAAGAAACTTCAGAATCCAACAATTCCAGCAGTGCTGGATTCCTTGTCCTCAACTGAATTTGTGTGGCTCCATCCACTGACCCCTATGCCCATAGTGATGCATACTTTTCTTGGAGATAATGCTACTCTAAACTCATTTTGGTTCTGGCCACATGTGTGAAGGTCCAAACTGATCCAACCATTCAACTGGAATCACATGACCTACTATCTTGACCTTTTAAAACTTGACTAGTACTGAAGGGAGCGAGGAGTAGCAGGGTTAATATTTCAGCCCTTATGTTGATGTTCTAATGTTAATTTTCTAGCCCAGTATGGCTTGTTACATATCTTCATGTGAACATTTAAGTATAGGTTCTCTTTCAGTGTTAACCAGTCTGTTCCCTGGCCCAGCAGTATGCAACCACTGGTGGCATCTATTCTGCCCATGTTCTGCTTTATTCAAGACACTTAACTTTCTCATGTCTCTCGAGATATATCGGCTGGAAAGGAATAATAATACCTGAGGCAGTAGCACTTAGATACCTTCACTTGTTTACCTTCTGTACATCAGTAGCTGAGATGTATGTTATTGTCATACAGTATATTATATACATGTATATATGTATAATCTCTCTCTCTATTTTTTAAAGAGAGGACTTTGGAAATATTTTGCACCTGTTGTGCTTTTGTACCCAGTTTCTTCAATACACTTTAAAGAAGATTACAGCAAAGCATGAGAGAGAGAGAGAGAGAGAGAGAGAGAGAGAGAGAGAGATTACACTTTAATATTTACCACTGCTGATTTTCACTGTATTGAAAACGTACAACTGCCTAAAGAAACTTCAGAATCCAACAATTCCAGCAGTGCTGGATTCCTTGTCCTCAACTGAATTTGTGTGGCTCCATCCACTGACCCCTATGCCCATAGTGATGCATACTTTTCTTGGAGATAATGCTACTCTAAACTCATTTTGGTTCTGGCCACATGTGTGAAGGTCCAAACTGATCCAACCATTCAACTGGAATCACATGACCTACTATCTTGACCTTTTAAAACTTGACTAGTACTGAAGGGAGCGAGGAGTAGCAGGGTTAATATTTCAGCCCTTATGTTGATGTTCTAATGTTAATTTTCTAGCCCAGTATGGCTTGTTACATATCTTCATGTGAACATTTAAGTATAGGTTCTCTTTCAGTGTTAACCAGTCTGTTCCCTGGCCCAGCAGTATGCAACCACTGGTGGCATCTATTCTGCCCATGTTCTGCTTTATTCAAGACACTTAACTTTCTCATGTCTCTCGAGATATATCGGCTGGAAAGGAATAATAATACCTGAGGCAGTAGCACTTAGATACCTTCACTTGTTTACCTTCTGTACATCAGTAGCTGAGATGTATGTTATTGTCATACAGTATATTATATACATGTATATATGTATAATCTCTCTCTCTATTTTTTAAAGAGAGGACTTTGGAAATATTTTGCACCTGTTGTGCTTTTGTACCCAGTTTCTTCAATACACTTTAAAGAAGATTACAGCAAAACGTGAGAGAGAGAGAGAGAGAGAGAGAGAGAGAGAGAGAGAGAAAAGTCAGTCCTTTGTCCACTAGTCCCCATGCCACCCACAGAGTCAGGGATGCCTATTCTCCAAACTGTATACTCATTTCAGTAGGCAGAGTTTGTACTCCTCCTGCAGTCAATGTCTTTGTCAGGTCAGAGGTTGACTCGGGGCCTGTCCTCTCCCTCTCTGATTAGTTGTAGCTCTATTTAATTAGCTGTGAATATGCATACATGAGATCCAGGTAGTAGTAATTTTGGTGTGCTATATGACATCCATGGAACTGCTTAGGCAGCAGAATGCTTGTTGATATGATCTCCAATTATGGAAAAAGTTTTCATGTAGTTGCATATACCCGGAGACAGATGTCTTTAGAGGTTAGCACTGTAAGGCTGTGCACACACCTTACAACCATCGCAAGACTTTTGTATTGCGAAGGTTTTAAGGTACTTAAAAAAACGTACGATCTGCCTATGTTGCATAGGCAGATCGTACTTGCGATGATCGCAAGCCACGCCCCCTGAGGGGCGGGCTTTCGGTGACCGCAATGTCGAACCTTTAAGGTCCCCACACACCTTACGATAATCATACGATAATCGCGGGAAATCCCGCGATCGTACGATTATCGTAAGGTGTGTGGAAGCCGTGCAACCTCTACTACTGTAAGGTCGCACGACTTTTAACTTACGGACATGTTCGAAAACCCGCCGAGCATTGTACGATGTTCGGCAGGTTTGTGGCATGTCAGTACGATAAAAGCCGCATGTCAGTACGATAAAAGCGCACACTGCCCGTTCGGCATTGCGGTCATCGGAAGCCCGCCCCTCAGGGGGCGTGGCTTGCGATCATCGCAAGTACGATCTGCCTATGCAACATAGGCAGATCGTACGTTTTTTTAAGTACCTTACAACCATCGCAAGACTAAAGTCTAAAGTCTTGCGATGGTTGTAAGGTGTGTGCCCAGCCTTAGTAAGATTTAAAAAAAAAGTTTAGATTTTTTGGTTTAATTTGTTAGTGCCCTTGTCTTGATTCATGCAGCTCAATCATTGACTCATAGGGTTGGACCTGAAAGGTCCCTTTACGTCTTATTTCATTTTTGTAAAGATAATGATCTGCAAAAGTTTCTTCTTATGTTATATGTTGTATGTTTTAAAAAAAATAATATAAATAAAGAATTTATAAAAACAAAAAGATTAAAAAGTAAATATTACAAAAGAGAAATCCCCTTTAGAAAGAATTACTATTAAAATTCTGATTCTTTTGGAAAGTTAATATTTCTGAATACAACTATTTTTAGGAAAATGATTTAATTTGCTGTGTGAAAGAAATTACCTCTTCCAGCCATATTTTATGAAATACTTGTTTTCCAGTTGCTTTGAATTAGGCAAATCTCCAAACTCTTCCACCAGCCATTGTGTGTGTGTTTATTCTCGTCTTCCTCCTGAAGAGCCACATGAACCAGGTCTATGTATAACAATGCCCTGAACAAATATAAACCTAAAATTCTTGTTATTAATAGGAAGTGCCCCAGAACAAAAGCAGTTGTTTTATTTTTGCCAAATGCACATGTACAATGCATGGTATCTTAGCCCCAGGTCAGCAGCCTGTTCTAGATGTTAAAATAAGAACAATGGGCCCTCATTAATAAAAGTGTCTGAGAGCAAAGTGTATTTCTCATAGCAATTGACATCAGCGAAAGTTGATCCTTTTCTCTTTAAAAATGGTTATACCTGGAATGTGATTGGTTGGATTAGGAAGACTATATCCATTCAGATATTTAAGAAAGCTAAACATATCAGCCCGAATAAAAAACTAAAGCTGGCCATGCACTGGCCATTTTTTCCCATTTAGGCCTTGCGGTCCAATAGAAACACTTATTCCAGAAACAGAAACACACAATCTGTGCTAATAGCGTAGGTGGGGTAATATCCCGCTGGTCTACTAAATTCTGATAGCAGCGGATGTGTTGCTCTCCATATACCTGAACACTAATGGCTTCTGATTGACTGCAGTCACTGTTTGGCCACGAATTTTCAGACCAGCTCCTTCAATAACAGTCAATTAAAGAAGATATACAGTATAGAGGGTGAGCTGGTTTGGACATTTATTAAAGCCCTTCTTCGGGCAAACAAAAAAAGTACCCTTGCAGTGGGGCTAATCACACGCTGCAAGGGTTAAGTGCTTGTTTTTATCTAGGGCCTGGAGTAAAGAAGATTTACTTACCGGATCCCCGCTCCCCCAGCAGCTGGCACTCACCTCTTTTCAATAAATCCTAAGTGACCACAACGTCACCACGTAAAAATGCCCTTATCAACTAAAGTCCAGTAAGAAGGTGCATCATAAATGAATAAGATCACTGTGTAGCTACTGTTTTACAGGTTCCCCAGCATCTGATCAGTTATGGCATATGCAAATTTATGTTGGGCCAAGCTGAACCAATGTAAGTATGCAAAATAATGCATACCTGGAGTTCAGCTTTAACTTGCTTTACCTTTTCAACCAAGAACTGAGATATGAGTTTAACAGAAAGTTCCCAAATGTGCTGATTTGGAAACATTAATATAAACATAAATTTAAAATTAAAAGCAATTTCTATAGTTATTATTGAAAATGTCAAAATGATATCATCATGGTAAAAAATCTCCCTTGTTTTTTTCCTTTTGATGCTGTAAAGGCTTATCATTAGAGCGCTCTACAGCCACCATTGCATCCCGAGCTCGCCTTTCGGAGAGAGAAGAGGAAGCTATATCGTGTTTTGAGAAAGCCAGCTGGATTGCACGAGTCTATTTTCAAGAGCTGGAGAAGGTATGTAAAATATTTAACATCTAAAGGACATTTCAGGTGTTCTGTGTGCTGCATCTTGTTTCCTAATGAATCCTAATAGGTAATCCTAATATTATTTTTTAGTCATTAGTAACTATGGGCCTTTCAAAGGCTTCTCCATAGGAACTGTTTAGCATTGACTCACAGCTACCAAATGGCATTAAACCATGCAAATTACATTTGGAGAATAGAAGTCTCCAAAAACACTAAAGGTTGATTGCAACGTGCTGTTTGACTAGTACTACCCCATGCATTGTCGATTGTTTGGTCATAAGAAACTGGGAAATGAGTGAGTGTTGTCACCATAGGACAGGACATGTGATACAGGCAGGATCACCAGGTGAAAAGAAAAAACGCAGAATAAAGAAAACTAATGCCATCACCACATCTTAGATATGGTAGGCTGCAATGTTATTGTTGCTTTTGTTTTGTTGTACAGACAGACTTCCATTTCTGCAGTGGCTCCTATTACAAGCCTGGTTTCTATGAAGCCACACCACCATGCTCTCTCTTCTCCCTGGGACTACACTGATGCACTTACCTTCCCCACGTGCCTTTAATGGACAGTTCATCTGTGATTGCTCATGTGCATTAACATATCGCATGCAGTACATCATAGAGCATATAGCCCAGTCGTTGGAAATTGGGGAGATATTGTATGTACGCCCCCCGACTAGAAGTAAGAGAGAAGTGCTGCACTAGAAGAGATAGCATTGGAAAGTCAAGAAAGGTAGACTCAAAATTTACATAAGGATTGTTTGAAAACTTCAGTAATTATAGACAATATTACCAATGTCCAGATCCATAGCCTGGTATTTTTTCAAGAGTTTAATACTAATACTAAGTTGATTGTTTTGACATTTGCGAGACATATCTGATGTCACTAACTGTACTACAACAACTACAGCAGCAAGTCTGTAACTGGGTTAGGCCTAGTTGCTGCATTGCAAGCTGCCTTTAGCACTTACAGCAGCATACACTAAGCCTAAGCATTCCCAGGCATGCCCAACCTGTGCAAGTTCCACAAACGTTATGCAGCTAGCCCTGTGTGCATATGCACCTGGACATGCATGAGCTACACAAAAACATCATATAACAAAATGTGTACACTTAAAATGTGACAAGAAAATACAAAAATAAAATATTTAAAAAAAAATGGTATATGATAAGTTAAATTACAGTTACGTTTTATGATTAGCAGCCCAAAATCTATAAGATACACCCAGAAATGTTTAAAAAGCAAAATCTTTGTTGTCCAGTGTTGTTTGTGACACCTTAGCCTTGCATGTGTTTATTATCTGACATTGTACATGTACATTGCTCACCTCTCTTTCCTTTTCACCACTAGAGTGTAAGCAGCACAAGGAATTCTAAAGGCAGCTCATCCTGTCCCGACTTTGAGCTCAGTTACTTCCTGGAAGCGGCACTTCAGTGCGCTGCTGCCGCACATTTCAAGAGAGGGTGAGTGAAAAATGTACCAGTTTGGTAATGTTTTGAGAAGCTGGAACAACATAGAAATAGAAAGTATCTGCTCCAGGATCGCTGACCATCATTCAGGGCTTATGGCTGCATTTTCATCTGATTATGATTTTTGTTTTGTTTTTTAATCTTTATATTTTTCATAGTACAGTAGGGGGAGAGTAAACATGAATCTAATGCATACAATATAGAACCTAACAAGAAGCAACCTACACCTGTGCTCAAAAGTTTGCATATCCTTATAGAATTGGTAATATATGAACCATTTTTAAAGCAAACATGAGTTAGCAGGCAAAACACATTGCTTTTAATTCTTATGAGATTTATATCAACTGTAGGTCATAACAGAATGGCACAATCATAAAACAAAACATGGCAGCAAATAAAAATATCAAATGACTTCTTTCAAAAGTCTGCATGCCTTTAGTTCTTAATACTGTGTATTGCCCTCTTTAGCATCAATGACAGCGGGCAGTCTTTTGTAATAGTTGCCTATGAGGCCCCGAATTCTTGCAGGTGGTATAGCTGCCCATTCGTCTTGGCAAAATCCCTCTAGGTCATGCAAAGTCTTTGGTCGTCTTGCATGCACCGCACGTTTGAGATCTCCCCAGAGTGGCTCGATAATATTAGAATCAGGAGACTGTGATGGCCACTCCAGAACCTTCACCTTTTTCTGCTGTAACCACTGGAGGGTCAACTTGGCCTTGTGCTTAGGGTCATTGTCGTGCTGGAAAGTCCAAGAGAACATCAGTGAGCCATCACCGTGCTTCACAGTGGGGATGGTATTCTCGTCACTATAGGCCTTGTTGACCCCTCTTCAAACATAGCGCTCATGATTGTGACCATAAAATTCTATTTTGGTCTCGTCACTCCAAATTACAGTGTGCTGGAAGCTATGAGGCGTGTCAAGGTGTTGTCGGACATATTGTTTTTTGTGGCATTGGTGCAGTAACTGCTTCATTCTGGCAGCTCGACCATGCAGCCCATTTTTGTTGAAGTATCGTCATATTGTGCTCCTTGAAACAACCGCATCGTCTTTTTCCAGAGCAGCCTGTATTTCCCCTGAAGTTACCTGTGGGTTTTTCTTTGTATCCTGAACAATTCTTATGGTGGTTGTGGCTGCAATCTTTCTTGGTCTACCTGACCTTGGCTTGGTATCAAGAGATCCCCAGACTTTCTACTTCTTAATAAGTGATTAAACAGTACTGACTGGCATTTTCAAGACTTTGGGTATCTTTTTATATCCTTTTCAATCTTTATAAAGTTCCATTACCTTGTTACAACGTTTTTTTGACAGTTCTTTTCTGCTCCCTGTGGCTCAGTATCTAGCCTGCTCAGTGCATCCACGTGAGATTATATGCAAAAATGTATGGAAAAACTCTAATATCTACACTGAAATCACAATATTTCAGACAATATTTAAATTGTGTTCCTTTATGGGAATTCAATTTGGCGCCCCAATACTGCAAGGCAAGAGTCGTAACCATTAAGCGGCTGTGCTGCGATGTTGTCTTCAACCTTTATATCTATAAATCCATAAGTATTATTATTATTAGGTCTCATGTAGACCGGTGTACTTGTGAAATAGTGCTTCTTAACCGCATGCGTTTAAATAGAAAACCCAGAATTTGTGTTTGACCTGAAGATCAAACTCACCTCAATAGGACCTGCTGTGTCCAAACAAATGCAAAACAATGCTAAGCAGGTCAAATGTGGCCTGATCTGCCATCTACTGTACACTACTCCATTGAGGCCAATGGGAATTTATTAATCTGCCAATGATGTAGTGTACATATCAAACATGTCAAAACACACAAAAACAATTCCCATCTAGCCCTTATCATTATTATTATAATCAAACAAGCAAAAGTAGGGTTTGGAGGGTTTCTAGAGAGGTAACAAGGCAAAGACCATGTATATATATAAAACATATGTCAATAGTTTATTGTACACACAACTCATAGTTTACTAGTTTACTATGAGTTGTGTGTACAATAAACTATTGACATATGTTTTATATATATACATGGTCTTTGCCTTGTTACCTCTCTAGAAACCCTCCAAACCCTACTTTTGCTTGTTTGACTTAATTGAGGGGGGAGAGGTGTGGGCAGGGGACCCTCGCCTGAGGCAATCCACCAGTTTTGCTTTGATTATTATTATAATATTACTACTAAGGATACTACTATCGGTATTGGTGCCGATACCGAGTATTTGGGCAAGTACTCGTACTCGCCCAAATGCTCCGATACCTGAACTTCCGGTTAGAGGAAGACTTCCTGTGACCAGCACTGCCATACGGGAACATAGAGTCGGCTTCCCAAGCAATCAGGAAGCAAGGCTCCGAGTATTGACCCGGCTCCCTGATTGGCAGGGAAGCCGGCTCCATGCTGATTGGCTGGGAAGCCGGCTCCCTGTCCAATCAGCATCAAGCCGGCCGAACAGTCGACTCCTTGCTGATTGGCTGGGAAGCCGGCTTCCTGACCATCTAGCATCGAGCTGTCCGAACAGCTTCCTGATTGGCTGGGAAGCCGGGGTCGATGCTGATTTGCTGGGAAGCCGGTTTCCCAGCCAATCAGCAAGGACCTGGCTGGCCAATCACAATTGAGCCAGCCGAATAGCCGGCCAAACAGCTTCCTGATTGGCCGGGAAGCTGGCTCGATACTGATTGGCTTGGAAGCCGGTTTCCCGGCCAATCACAATCAGGCCGGCCAAACAACGAACAATGAAGCCAGCTTCAGGGGAAATCAGGAAGCAGGCGGCATGTCATTACCCGCTGCCCGGCTTCCTGATTGCCTGGGAAGCCGGCTCCATGCCAGTGGAAGCACCGGTACTCGGTATCGACGAGTACCGAAAGCAAAATATTGGTACTAGTACTCGACACCGAAAAAACAGTATCGGTGCATCCCTACTTACTACTGTACTGGATGTACGACATCGCACATGCTTTTCAAAAACTATTGCTGAACATGGATTTTGGGTCAGACTTTTGCAGTCAGAAGTGAAGGATTATGGGACTTTCAGGAATAATTTGCTAGAATCTTACCAGCACAGTGGAAGGTCTGTCACATCTATCCAAAGTGTGTAGCCTTTCCTTATTCTGCTCTTCTTACTCTGTAAATCATTTGCAGGAAATGAACAAATTAAACATTTTTAGAGCTGGGGAGGATACATGAGTCATGGTGTACTTAGAAGAGATTTTATGGCTTTTATACAAGTCAAATCCCTCTTTTTCTATTAACATGTTACAGAATGTAATAGATTCTCACAGCTGGAATAAAAAAATTAAAAGTCATTTCAGTTTGGTAAAAATTGACCTTTTAATAAAATTGATGCTTAACTTGAGTTAGTAGGGAACATGTCACTTTTAAGAAATAACAAACTTTCTTGAAATGAATTATTAAATTGTTACCTCATGTCACCTAAAGCTTAGACAGTCTCTAGATTACATAGTCAATGGACGCCTAATGTACTGTGGCTGTTTCATGTCATCGGAGCCTCAACTCAAGAATCTCAACATTTAGAGCTGTCACACAGTGGCGTAACCAGAGCAATGGGCACCCGGGGCAGAACAAAATTGTGCGCCCCCCCCCCACGGTGATATGTGGGGGTGTACAGGTATAATGAGAGTATGCTGGGACATGTTGTAATTGAACTAAAAGTCCTAGCATACTCTCATTGTCCCTATACACCCCCCCCATAGTGGAAGGTCCCAGGGGGGGAGCGGAAGGTCCCAGGAGGGGTGCGGATGGTCTCAGGAGGGGTAGCGGAATGTCCCGTGAGGGGTAGCAGAATGCCCCGGGAGGGGTGCGGAAGATCTCAGGAGGGGTACAGAGGGTGTCATGAGGGGTACAGAGGGTGTCATGAGGGGTGCGGAATGTCACAGGAGGGGTGCGGAAGGTCTCAGGAGGGGTGCGGAAGGTCT